GGAAAAAAAAATTGATGCTGGTTTTGTAATCGAGTATCATTTCCTGAGAACCAAAAAAGATGGAGATTATAAGACAAAATCGGCAGGTTTCAAAAAGAAAAAGTCCCTCCACAGCAGAAACAAGAGAAGAAAAATGCTCCCTGTTTTAAAACTCACGTTTACTTTACCACAAATAATTTTTCTTCTCTTGCTGTCGGACTTGCAGCCAGCAGACGGCGCTGCCTTTTAACCTTCTGTCCCAGCAGCTCCATGATGTAAAGAGTTGTAGTCAATCATAACCAGAAAAAGTTTTCTTCTCTTAAAATTGTAAGTTTTGAGTGAAAGTTCTTTTTAATTAAGTGATGTCAAATCATTTATTGGACAAATAATTATTTGATAGAGCTTCTTTTAGTATCACAATTAGTTTTTAAAACTTTGAAGTGTGCAGCCAGTGGCTTTCTCCTTCCCTCTCCCAATCTCACAGAACTATTTTTATTATATACTTCAGTGGAAAAAAAGAAAGCTTTGTGGGGCGCAGCTTGTTCTCTCTCTCTCTCTCATAAAATTCTCTCTCTTAATGAAATATAAGTGAATGCTTGCAATTAAAAGGATGATTGTTTCTGCAGAGCTTGTTTGCAAAGCACAAATAGGCAAGATGGTGATTGTTTGGACATCTTTTTTAATTTCTATGACTCCTTGTGTCAGAATCTGGCTATTTTGGCAACACTAGAAATTTTTTGCTGTTGGTATTCCTTCCCTTTGTACCTAAAGCAAACTTTTGCTGGTCCTGGAGCCCCAAGACCAGCGGAAAGCTATGTTTTGCTCCACTGAGGCTGTGGCTTTGCTCTACTCCACTGTTGTTGTTTATTTATTCAGTTGCTTCCGGCTCTTTGTGACCTCATGGACCAGCCCACGCCATAGCTCCCTGTAGGCTGTCACCTCCCCCAGCTCCTTCAGGGTCAAGCCAGTCACTTCAAGGATACCATCCATCCATCCATCTTGCACTTGGTCAGGCCATCTTCCTTTTTCCTTCCATTTCCCCCAGCATAATTGTCTTCTCTAAGCTTTCCTGTCTTCTCATTATGTGGCCAAAATACTTCATCTTTGCCGCTACTATCGTTCCCTCCAATGAACAGTCGGGCTTTATTTCTCGAAGTATGGACTGGTTGGATCTTCTCACTGTCCAAGGCACTCTCAGAACTTTCCTCCAGCACCACAGTTCAAAAGCATCTATCTTCCTTCGTTCAGCCTTCTCTATGGTCCAGCTCTCACATCTGTAGGTTACTACGGGGAATACCATTGCTTTAACTATGCGGATCTTTGTTGCCAGTGTGATGTCTCTACTCTTTACTATTTTATCGAGGTTGGTCATTGCTCTCCTGCCAAGAAATAAATGTCTTCTGATTTCCTGGCTGCAGTCTGCGTCTGCAGTAATCTTTGCACCTAGAAATACAAAGTCTGTCACTGCCTCCGCGTTTTCTCCCTCTGTTTGCCAGTCATCAATCATTCTTGCCATAATCTTGGTTTTTTTCTACTCCACTAGCCTTCCTGATATCCATGTTCTTAGCACATTAGCATCATGTTCGTTAGTCCCAACTAGAGAAGTCCCATCCAATCAGTGGTTGAATTTTGAATCTATACCCATTTTTTCAGTGGTTTTATTCTAGTCAAGACTAATAATCAGACTTAAGCCCTTTGTAGTTTATAAAAGCTAATGTCACAGTAAATTTGTTGCAGATGTCACACGTCATATCTTGTTTTCTCTCAAACATCAATGCTAACATAAACAAGTATTTTGCTTTGTCTTTTAGAGTTGCCAATTCAAGATCCTCCTGAGCTCTAAGGTTTCAGTGCCAAACCTTGATACTTAGGGACAACCCCAGAAATGTCATTAAGCTTTATACATAATAAGTTCTAACCTTAGTTGCTTCCACTTTGTCATTCAAGTACTCAGATCCACAGAGGGGGCGGGGGGGGGGGGAGGCGGGGAAATGAGAACATATTCTCCTTTTTGGGAATGATGACCAAAGTCTTAACTGAGGGAATTGTTCCCAGATCAAGGTAAAATGAGAGATTATTCCTTATCACATATTTTGAGAGACGGAAAATGGACTTGGGTCTAGGCAGAAGGTGGATGCAGAGTAAAACAGAAGATAAGTCTGGTACAGCAATGACTTGAAGGGGAAAGTAAAGCCAATGAGATAAATACATAGGAGCCAAAGAAAGTTTTTGCAAGCCGTAGCAAAGCTGCTGTTGGAGTTGGAGATTTGCAAATAGCCTTTGCTCTTGCCTGGAGCTGAACCAACCAAAACTGGAGGAGTTGCATACTTGTCTTCTGCCTGGAAATACCATAAAAATGAAGACAGGATCCAGAGCAGAATTCTGAAAATTCTTATCCCTTTAGAGTCATTTCAATCTTTTTGTGTCAAAAGAGTTTAATACTTGCTGTAACTCACGTTTCTTCATTTAACACCTGTACACTTCAATCCAGTGCATAGTTTGCAAAATGAACTTGTCTCACATAGCGTAATTTCTTTTAGCACTATGCAAAAACATGATAGGGAACTTTGTCAAGAGCAGGACACACATGGTCTCTGTGCCTCACAGATTTGGATGCCACACATTCACAAATCCATCCAAGGAATGTTCCAAAGTTGAGCAACTTTTTGGCAGTAACTCCGCCCTTCCAAAGTACCTACATATATCACATTGAAAGCTGGTCCTTCCAATTCCTTTTTCCCATTGTACAATTTACTTTGGTCTTTAGATATTGAGTAGCTACTTTTTGTTTCACTTTCCATATAACTCTTCCATCTCTTCACTGTTACCACCATCTTTTCCTGCCATCTTGTATGGTCTTGAAGGCTGTATTCAACTGTTGCACCTCATTTGGATGGAAGATTCCACACTTAACACCCATGAGGAGAATTTCTTCTTCTCAGGGAAGATCAGGGGGTAAATTCTTTTGCTAAGGTTTTATGAGTCCTGAATAATATTTATTTATTTATTTACTATATTTGTACACCGCCCCTCTCAGCTCGAAGGCAACTCGAGGCGGTTTACATTTGACAATCAATAATACATACCTTTGGTTAACTTTCTTACATTTTATATTGGTTACACAGGCAAAGGGGAAACATCACAAGTACTCCAACATTCACTCATATACATTCATCATTCATATGTACCACCCCCTCTCCATTCAGTTGATCACGCTTGTTGGGAGGAAGGAGGCAGGTGGACACAGTTGCATCTCTGCAGATTTGGCAAACACACAATAAGAGGGTCACTTTACGTAGTGATTTTGGTTATTCATTATTTGGTTGTTCAGATAACCTCTATCATTCAGCTCAGACCTCTGAAAAGAACAATAGTTATAAGTAAACAACGTGTCCTTTCCTCACATGGAAGCAGTGAATATCAATAATATTGGCCTGATTTCAAAGCTCACTCTGAAGGAGCTCGTTGGCAATAATGTCTCTTTTTTCTCCTCCTAGAACTCTACGTAAGGAGCCAGTCTTCAATGATGAGCTGCCAAGTCGCATTATATGTGGGACTGTTGTGGTGAAGCCCAATGTGAGAAAGTTTACAGAAACTTCTGCAATATTTCAGGATGGGTCTGTGCAGGAAGATGTTGACTACATCATTTTTGCCACAGGCTACACCTATTACTACCCTTTCATGGATGATAACTCCATAATCAAGAACAGCAACAATGAAGTTATTCTGTACAAAAGCATTCTTCCCCCCAGGCTGGAGAAACCCACCTTGGCAGTAATTGGCTTAGTCCAGTCCCTTGGAGCAACTATTCCAACCGCTGATCTTCAGGCTCGCTGGTCCACGAGAGTATTCAAGGGTTAGTATAGTATCCACTTTGAACACAAAATCAGGATTTGTCGTTATTTGTTGTCAAGTAAACTTTGACTTACATTAAAAAAAAATTATACAGTGTATGCGACATCATAATACGGTTATGATTCATTATTTACAATTCTCTCATCCAACCTCCCTCCCCAAGTCACAGATGTTTACATACTTTTTCTCTTTCAGTGTTCTAGTAAAATTATCTCTGCTGTGTTACCTATTTTCTTAATAATAGAGATATCTTGCCCTAATCATCTAACTAAAATCTTACTTGATCTAAGGTGGCATGGATTTGTTGTTACTTCGGCACATATAGATAATGAATGGTTTCCATATGGCCTCAAACAACAGAAGAACAAGCAATTTTAAGAATTATTTGCCACCCAGGTTTAATTGGCATATATGGGGAAAAGGCAAGAAGTACAAAGAGTTGCAGTGCCTTTGTTAAATATTATTCAACTACACATTTCTGTCACAGGAGACAAAACTAATTCAGTCCCTAGTCATGCAATGGAATCCCAGCCTCCTTACTCCCACAAGGATGATAAAAACATCAAATCATCCGGGTGTCCCTTGGGCAACGTCCTTGCAGACGGCCAATTCTCTCACACCAGAAGCGACTTGCAGTTTCTCAAGTCACTCCTGACATGACCAAAAAACAACAATGTTGAAATCAGTTATTCCTTTTTTGAGAAGAGATTGTTGTTGCTTGTTTGTTTGTACAAACAAACAAGAGTGGATCTTGTGCAAGACGTGATGCAATCACTACTCTTTCTTTGTCCTTAGGATTATGTAAACTGCCTTCAGTCAGCACTATGATGGATGACATAAATGAAAAAATGGGGAAGAAGCTAAAGTGGTAAGTTTGAAGTACAAATGTGTCCTTTCTCAGTACACTTATTACAGATTATATATTTTGATTTTCTAAAGTGATCAAGTTTAAGTTTTCACTGTTAAACTATAGACTATAGCCTTTTTGCTATCTTTACATTCACTGACCACTTCTTCTGCCAACAGGATAAAGTTTTAGAATAAAAAATAATAATGGCAAGACATTTTTAATTCTAGAATTATACCATATACCAATTATAGTAAAAATGACTAATTCCTGATATTTTATCTTGGCACAACTGTTACTGTAAATAAGAAAATGGGACATGATAAAATAAACTATTTAGAGCAATACACAGTTCTAGACTTTATGTTAAACAAATTGAATCAATTACAACCCCTGTCCCATATATTTAGAGCATATTTGTCATATGGTATACCAGATACTTATCATTATACTTGTCTGCCTACAAAAAAAATCTGATAACTATAATTTTGTTGGCACATATGATAATTCTTCTCAGAGAAGAACTTAGTGTTTTTTTCCTGCTAAATTCATACCACAGGAACAGCTATTACTCTATGTATCTGATTTTCAAGCCATTATTTTCCAATAGATATAAAATCCAGATTACGTACTTGGAACAAAATGGAAATATCTTGAACATTTCTCTGCTCATCTTTGTCAGGCATTTACCAGACATGCTTCTCCTTTCTTTAAGGTTTGGGCAAAGCGATACCATTCAAACTGATTACATTGTCTACATGGATGAACTTGCCTCTGATATAGGTGCCAAGCCCAACATTCGGCAACTGTTCCTGACATCTCCTAAACTGGCCCTGCAAGTTTATTTTGGCCCTTGCACCCCATATCAGTTTCGTTTAGTAGGACCAGGGAAGTGGAATGGAGCCGGAGATGCCATCCTTACACAGTGGGACCGAACACTGAAGACCACAAGGACCCGAGTTGTGCACAGCACTCAGAAGTCTCCCCCACTCCATTTTTTGCTCAAAATGTTTGTCCTCCCACTTCTTCTCATTGTTTTTTGGATGATTTTTAATTGAGTAATCATAAACTATACACTGAAATCAATGTCTAAGAATCAGCTAAACAAGAGATAGCCAGAAAATATTAGACTGCAACTCTTATCAGCCGAGTGACCATAAATAATGATAAACAAGGTAGAGACCAATACATTTTCCTTGCCAGTTAAGTAAACAATAATTATTTTTTTTAAAACCCTAACAAATAAACATGGGACTTGATCTATATCAGGGCCATCATGGACAGAGTGGAAGGATTAAACATCCCTCACAGGCTTTTCCTCCTACTAATTTTCTTTTAAAAAGAAAAAGGTATCACAGATTACTTATCTCTACATGGTAGGGCTTTCATGTGTACTTTGCAAGGCAGCTGTTAGGGAGCGGGGAGGGAGAAAAAGGAGTGGGTGGGGGAAAGTCCTAAATCTTGCTGTTAATGCTGACTGAAGTAAACCTATTGATTTAACTAAATGGAATGACATACCGATGCACGATTGAGTACCTGATGTATTCTAGTTGGGACTAACCAACAGAATACCAGCCAATTCATTTAACATAGTAAGAAGGTCTAAACTATATGTGATGCCAAGTTGTTTACATAAGAAAAAGGATCAGCTTTAAAGTGAAACAAAGTTAGGAAAGATACAGAAGCCATATTTTTATATAATGCCAAGCCATCATCTAGCACTGTATGCACAAAAATAAAGTCCTGCAAATTGCTGTCCCTGTTCCCTTCATCTGACCTGGAGATTTAAGCCAAAATTCAGTTTCTCTTTAACAGCGTCCTAACTGGTCTTTACATGCAAACCAGACACGATCTAATTTGGGTTGTTGTAGGTTTTTCGGGCTGTATGGCCATGTTCTAGAAGTATTCACAACCTCTGAGGATGCCTGCCATAGTGCAGGTGAAATGTCAGGAGAGAATACTTCTAGAACATGGCCATACAGCCCGAAAAACCTACAACAACCCAGTGATTTCGGCCATGAAAGCCTTCGACAAAACAAGATCTAATTTGTTCAATAAGCCAAATTAGACTAAGGATAGCTCCTGGTGTATTCAATTTACCGTATTCACTTGAGTATAAGGTGCCATAGAATGTAATGCGGACCTCAATTTTGTAGGTGCACATTGCTGAAAATGAATTTGCCCATGAATGTAATGTGCCCAACAGCATAGGTAAAGCATGTCAGGGAGTCAGGCAGCATGAGTGAGGCCATTTGGGAAGCCATGCCCCTTTGTCAGGCCAAGGTTTGCGAACTTGCCAGTTTGGCACAATTCCCAACTGGCCTCATTCATGAGGCCTTCAAAACTGGGGGCCAGTTGGGAACCACATGGGACTGAGCTAGATTTGGGGGGCAGAGACTGTAATTTAGCCAAAAAGGGTGAGACCTGAGTATATATGGTATTTTTTGCCATGACTTCTAACTCATAACAAGCATGCATGTGCATGGAAAAATAACTTCCCCGATCCTTCTCCCCAATCCTCTTTCCCCAATCTTTGGGCTGTCCTTTCAGCATTATGCCAGGAGGAGGGCGAGACAGACAACAGCCGAGAGCACTCTGGTGGGCTCTTAGCTACTGCGTGCCTTCCTTTGTCTGTCTTCTCAGCATAAGGACTGGGAAGAGGGCAAGACATGCAGTCCAGAGTGCTCTCAGTTCTTGCATGCCTTCCTCCCCTGTCCTGTCTGCATAAGGATGTGGCGGGCCACTGTGAACTTACGCTGAGACGACAGGGAAAATGAGGTGAGTGCCCAGGGGGCCACATCCGGTCCTTGGGCCTTAGTTTGCCCATGCCTGAGATAGAAGTTACAGAATGCAATCTATAACTTTTCTAAAGCAAAACCAATCACTCTTAGCAGCACCTGGATGGGAATTCCTGAACATCTGGAGAGCCACAGGTTGTGCAATCCTTCCTTAAAGTGTCCAAAGAGTGCAATCACATGATTCCTCAAGCCTCTCTTCACCAAGATGAATATGCCCTATTCCTTACACTTCTCATACGTTTTGTTCTCCATACCTCTAATCATCCTTGTTGCCTTTATCAAGTTGGAGTGAGTTCAAACCGGTCTCTATCCTTAAAACAAGGTGCCAAGAAGTGGATGCAGTACTCCAGATGAAGCATGACCAGTGCAGAATATAGTGTGACTATTATGCACCTTGCTTTGGGGATTATGGCTGTATTCATGCAGGCTACAATGACATTTGCTTGCTTTGTTGCACCACCACCATGTTCATGGGTGATCAAAAATAAACCCAATATCATTTTCACATGCAGTTTATTGCAGTTTCTCAAGTTGCTCAAGTTGCAGTTTCTCAAGATGCTCCTGACATGACAATTTTTTTCACATGTAGTACTGTTAAGTCACATATCCCTTATCCTGTATCCATGCATTTTTGTACTTAAATGAAGAATTTTTCATTTGTTTCTATTGAATTCCATTTCAAACTCAATTTTGAAGTTTGTCAATGTCCTTTTGAAATCTGTTTTTTTTTCCAATATACAGGCTACCCCTTTGTTTGTAAGTATGATCTACAGAATTAATAAGGGTTCCTTCCACCCATCATCTATATTATTAATCTTAAAATGTTCAAGAATAATGGTCTTCGGAGTTAAACTGTACTTGAGATTTCCATTCAGTTTGGATCACAGCATTATTTGAGCATTATTTTCCAATCAATTATGAATCCACCTACAGTATTTTATGATTAATTAGTTTGTTAATCAAAACATTTTGGTGGACCTTGGCTGAAATCCCGATAAATGGATCTACAGTATTTCCACCATCTATTAAACTAGAAAATCAACCGTATAAGATTTATTTAGCAAGATTGGTTCTTGACAATGTTGGCTCCTGCTAATTATTGCAATATCACCACAATACTTGCAAACAGATTCTTGCACAACCTGTTTTCTTTTCACCCCGCATTGATATCAGGCTTTGAGTTCTACTAGTTCCTTCAACACTCTGGAATGTAGTTCATCAGACCCTGCAGATGTCAATTCATTTACCCAGATTCCTTGTCAAAGTCTCTGCTGATACATGGAAGCACACAGTTCCGGGGTTGGGGGTTGGGGGTGGGGGTGGAGATGAAGCAAAGTAGGTATTGAGTAGTTCTCCCTTCTAGTTGTAATCTGTCAGCATTTCACCATTCTTGCAGATCAGTGGTCCCATCATTTCCTTTGTCATTCTCTTCCTTCACACATATTGGAAAAACATCTTATTGATTCTAGTTTCCCTAGTGAGTGTCAGCTCATCCTCATCTTTTTTTTATTGCTTACATAACAAATCAGCTCTTCTCAACATTAGAATGTAAAGTCATGGGGCATCTTGAACATGGCCCAAAAGAGGGTGAGGTTGCTGTTTGAACAAGGACAACTTGTTTGCCTTTCAGCAGCAGCCAAGAGTATAGCAATGAAGTAGTCAAAGCTTCTTCTGGAATGGTGATATGGCTGTGCAGAAGGTTTTGCCTAAAGAAAACATCCCAAGTCTTGAGAAAACAGTATAGCACAATAGAGAGGTGCTTCTTGAGGTGCTCCTGGTTGATGAAGAAATCAGAGGGTAGGGAGCCAGCTCTGGAAGGAACAGGTCAGCTTTTGAATTGAGAAAGAAGTGAAGGAAATTAGAAGAGAAATAGAGTTCAGGTACACGATCAGGAAAACGTCATGGCAATATCAGAGGAAGTGAGAAGGTGATAGGTTGTGAGATTAGTGCAACCATTTGGGTTGCAAATAATAATCTATCTTGACTTTGAAATTGAGATATCAAAAACCATAGCTTTGGGATTGCCTCAGTACTTCAAAATGTTTGCCACTTTTGGTCCCATATTTAGAGAAAAGTGCAACATAATTGTTTAGTTAGATATATAGCTATTTGACTAAAGTAAATGGAATGATATTTTTGTTCGGTGTATGTTGTAACAGTAGGCTGGTATCCTTACAATGCAATAAATCAAGGTTTCAGCCCACAACTCCAGTAATTGAGAGATCTTGAGAGAGGAAGAAATCCAGTCTTGGTAGTTTCCCCTTCTGATTACTGCAAAAAATGGGGAGAGAGGGCATCCCAGGGATTCCTCCACCCAGCCCAGCAGAATAGGAGAGGAAGGACCATGGAAGAAGAGGAGGATGCTGCCATCACCCTTGTAGCAGGTCTGTCTAGCACAGTGGTTCTCAACCTGGGGTCCCCAGATGTTTTTGGCCTTCAACTCCCAGAAATCCTAACAGCTGGTAAACTGGCTGGGATTTCTGGGAGTTGTAGGCCAAAAACATCTGGGGACCCCAGGTTGAGAACCACTGGTCTAGCATGATGCCTAATGCTGGGTGGCAGTACTACCCCACCCCCACTGACAGCTGCAGCGGCTGGTTTGGAGAAGTTCCCTGGCCAGCAAAGAGAGGCAGACAGAGTAATATTTAGATGCACAGTGAGCCACAATTTACCCAGTGGCATCTTAGTCTGATTGTGCCACCCAGTGCACTTTGCATTCTTTGCAACCCCCTTGTGACACCACTGAATTATAAAGCCAAGGGGGATATGAACAAGTCAAGTATATTTTTGCTAACTAGGGAAAAAACAAAGCAGTATAATTGTTCCCTCACTTTCCCCTAGACCTCATTTGCAGGACACATCACTGGCTACCAGCAAAGAAATGAGATACCCTCTCACTGTTTTCAACAGTGCCACAGAAGAGTGGGACTCTAAAATGTTCTGGAGGTATTTAAAAAATAGACAACCATGTGTCAAGGAGGCTGTTACTGCACTACACAAGAGAGTCTACACCAGGTGTTCTTAACCGGGGTCCACAAACCCCTTGGGGGTTCATGGAAAGATTTAAGGAGCTTGAATTGAAAAAAATCTTTATTTTCCTTTTACCTCTACCTGAAATATAGTATATCTACTTATGGATGTATGCAATAAATTACGCTAGTATTTATAGAATCACACAGCTAGAAGAGACTAGAGGGGACATCCAGCCCAACCCACGGCTTTGTAGGAACACACAATCAAAGTTCCACTGTATTCTGCTTTGGTCAGATCTCACCTTGAATACTGTGTCCAGTTCTGGGTCTCACAATTCACGAAGGAAATTGACAAGGTGGACACTGTCCAGAGAAGGACAACTAAAATGGTCAAAGGGTTTGAAACCAAGATCTATGAGGAACAGCTGAGGGAGTTAGGAATGTTTGTCTTGATGAAAAGAAGGCTGAGAGGGAAACATGATAGCTGTTTAAATATTTGAGAGGGCATGCTGAGAAGGAAGCAAGCTTCTTTTCTGCTGCTCTGGAGACTACGACATGAAGAAATCACAGGTAAGAAAGATTCCACTTTAAATTAGGAAGACCTTCCTAATAGTAAGAGCTGTTTGGCAATAGATATGCTGCCTCAAAGTGTAGTGGAGTCGTCTTCTCTGCAGGTTTTAAAGCAGAGGTTGGATAGCCATCTGTCAGGGTTAACTTGGCTATGTGTTCCTGCATGGCAGGGGACTGAACTGGATGACCCATATGGACTCTTTCAACTCTTCGATTCTATGACTCACCCCTGACAGATGGTCATCCAGCTTCTGCTTAATTTTTTTTCCATTTTGGGTGTGGTGGATAAATTCCCGCAAAAAAGTTGGTAAGAATGGAGAAGATGGTTTATGGGAAAGCTCAGAATTTCTAAACATTTGTTGAAAATGACAATTTGAATTGTGTATGACTATCAATTACTGAAATTGTGGAAAAGTTGTAAAACATAATTTTGAATAATCCTAAAATTTAACTTAAAGGCATGCCAACGTTGAGTGTCATAAAACTGCCAGTTTATAAAATGGTTAAGAAGAACCCATGATCTAAACCAGAAGTCCCCAAACTAAGGCCTGTGGGTTGGATACACCCTCCAAGATCCATTACCCATCCCTTGCCCGAAATCTTAGATTTGGGGTCACCTAAGTCTGAAATGACTTGAAGGTACACAACAACAACAATCCTTGACTATCTCATCAGCCAAAAGCAAGTTCACACTTCCCATTGAAATATTGGCAAGTTTATGTTGGCTCAAATTGTGCTTCATTTTAAATATTGTGTTCTTTTTTCATGGTTTTTGGCACTACAAATAAGATATATTCACTGTGCATAGGAATTCATTCATTCCCCCCCCCCCCCCAAACTATAGTCCACGAGGGACTGGGAACCGACTCTTCGCTTAAAAAGTTTGTGGGCTCCCTGGCTATAGTGAGAAAAGATCAGGTGTCCACCAAGACCCAACAAAGGATTAGAAATGCTTACACAGAAATATGTAAGCTTTGTGTAGTCCTAAGAGAGAAAGAATGATAGTGATATGTAGCAATTTTTGTCTACACAGTACTAACTTACTAACAGATTAATTAATAGGTTCTTGTGGGTTTTTTTCAGGCTATAGAGCCATGTTCTAGAGGCATGGCTCTAGAACATGGCCCTATAGCCCGAAAAAACCCACAAGAATCTAGTGATTCCAGCCACGAAAGCCTTCGACAATAGATTAATTATTTTTTTTAGATTTCTTAGGCAGTAATTAAAATTAGATAAAGATGTAAAAGAAGTAATCTGACAAGAATAATCAAGACAAACCTCGGATGAAGAAAAGTTTGGAAAAGAAGAAGAACATGAGAATATAAGAAGATATAAGAAGATACGATGATCAGGCTTAAAATTAGTTTATAATATCTCTCCTCTCTTGTTGTATAAGGAACTTGTAATACTTTCAAGTAATGTAAGTAAGTGTAACAAAAACTAAGAAATAGATACAATAAATATAACTCTGTACATTGCCTCTTCTGTCCCCTCAACCTCTCCCCGCTTCTTTGCAACATATTAGATACCGGCAAAGACTAATTGATTAACAATAACTCCACTACCCCCAGCTCCCCCTTTCTTTTTTGCCCAACTTTTCCATCTTCTCCCTTTGCATGTGTGTGAAAAAATTGGATATTCCAACTATCTATCTATCTCAGCTTCTGAGGATGCTTGCCATAGATGCAGGCGAAACGTCAGGAGAAATGCCTCTAGAACATGGCTCTATAGCCCGAAAAAACCCACAAGAACCTAGTGATTCCAGCCATGAAAGCCTTCGACTATATCTATCTATCATCTATCTATCTATCTATCTATCTATCTATCTATCTATCTATCTATCTATCTATCTATCTATCTATCTTGCCCCTCAGGATCATATATATATCCTCAGGATCATCTCTCCCCCTCTCTCTCTATTTATCTACATCCCTTCCAGCTATATATATATAGAACGTTTTTTACTCAGCTTTTCCATCTTCCACCTCTGTGTGTGAAAAAAAAAATGAAAATGTTATGTTTATATCCCCCTTCCAATCATCTGTCTATCTATATTGGCCTTCAGGAACATATGTATATACATATAGCCCCTCAGGATTCTACACACACACCCCTTCCAATTATATATAGATCCCTTCCAACTTATTGCCCCCCAGGATTTTACACACACACACACACACACACACACACACACACACATATATAGCGAGAGACCCTGAGGATAAATAGTCCCACAGGATTAGCTCTCTCTCTCTCTCTCTCTGTCTCTCTCTCTCTGCATCCCTTCCAACTATATATAAATCCCTTCCAATTTATTGCCCCTCAAGATTATAGATAGATAGATAGATAGATAGATAGATAGATAGATAGATAGATAGATAGAGACCCTCAGGATCTCATAAATAGATATTCCCACAGGATCATATCTATCTTTCTCTCACTACATCCCTTCCAACTATATATAAATCCCTTCCAACTTATTGCCCTTCAGGATCATATATATATATATATATATATATATATATATATATATATAGAGAGAGAGAGAGAGAGAGAGAGAGAGAGAGAGAGAGAGAGAGAGAAGAGAGCTCATAGATAAATGAATAGATAGTCCCATAGGATCATATCTATCTTTCTCTCTCTGCATCCCTTCCAACTAGATATCAATCCCTTCCAACTTATTGCCCTTCAGGATCATATATATATATATATATATATATATATATATATATATAGAGAGAGAGAGAGAGAGAGAGAGAGAGAGAGAGAGAACCTCAGGATCTCATAGATAGATAGATAGATAGATAGATAGATAGATAGATAGATAGATAGATAGCACCACAGGATTATATCTATCTTTCCCTCTCTACATCCCTTCCAGCTATATATAGATCCCTTCCAACTTTTTTCACCCAACTTTTCCATCTTCCCCTTTGTATGTGTGCAGGCATGTAGCTGGGGGGGGGGGGCTTGGGGGGCTCAGCCCCCCCCCCCCCCCCCCGAAATTCTCATGGTGGTTTGCGAAAAGGCCTTACTGGTGCATTATTTAAACTGTTATGTTTATTCATATCATAATCTGATCACCATACTCAATATATCCCATATGCATGGGGGTATTGGGGTAACGATACAAAAGGTTTGCTAGGGTAGACCCTCTTTCACTCAGACTCAGCCCCCCCCCCCGGAAACAAACTCAGCCCCCCCCCCCCCCCGAATCGAAATCCTGGCTACGGGCCTGTATGTGTGTGAAAAAAATCTATCTCTATCTATCTATCTATCTATCTATCTATCTATCTATCTATCTATCTTCCAACTCTATCTATATTGCCCCTCAGCATCATTTATTCATATCAGGATCATCTCTCTAACAGTGTTTCTCAACCTGGGGGTCGGGACCCCTGAGGGGGTCGTGAGGGGGTGTCAGAGGGGTCGCCAAAGACCATAAGAAAACACAGTATTTTCTGATGGTCATGGGGATTCCATGTGGGAAGTTTGAGCCAATTCTATCATTGGTGGAGTTCAGAATGTTCTTTGATTGTAATGAACTATAAATCCCAGCAACTACAACTCCCAAATGTCAAGATCTATTTTCCCCAGACTCCACCAGTGTTCACATTTGGGCATATTGAGTATTTGTGCCAAGTTTGGTCCAGATCCACCATTGCATGAGTCCACAGTGCTCTCTGGATATAGGTGAACTACAACTCCCAAACTCAAGGTCAATGCCCATCAAACCCTTCCAGTGTTTTCCATTGGTCATGGGAGCCAAGTTTGGTTCAAATCCATCGCTGGTGGAGTTCAGAATGCTCTTTGATTATAAGTGAACTATAAATCCCAGCAACTACAACTCCCAAATTACAAAATAAATCCTCCCCAACCCCACTAGCATTCACATTTGGGTGTATTGGGTATTTGTGCCCAGTTTGGTCCAGTGAATGAAAATACATCCTGCATATGATATTTACATTATGATTCATAACAGTAGCAAAATTACAGTTATGAAGTAGCAATGAAAACAATATTATGGTTGGGGGTCACCACAACATGAGGGACTGTATTAAGGGGTCACGGCATTAGGAAGGTTGAGAACCACTGCTCTACCTAGTATTTATCTACATCCCTTCCAACTATATATAGATCCCTCCCAACTAAATGATCCTGAGGGGCAATTTTGCAATTGCTCCATTTTCTGCACTGCATGACAAGCTGCAACACAACTCTAGGCTGTACATTGCCAAGCTCCCTTACCTTTTCCAGGAGGTGTGTCTCACAAACATTGGCTGGCCACCTGGGTCTCCTATTACCTCCCTGTTTCCAAAGCCTACACTTCAACACTAGGGACCCAGTGTTGAATTCCAACCCCAGTTCATATTGAAGGAAAGGCTGCATTAAATGCATGCTTCCCTTTACTGCCAGGTCTTGCTTGGGACTTCTATACAAGGGAATAACAAAATCTGGTGAGTTTTGAAAGCTTCTTTTACCTGACAAACACCTATGACATTAATAGGAGAGGGGGGATGCAATGCTGAGTGGGTTTCTCTCTTCTCTGTGTGTCTTTTTGAGTTGGGTTTTAAAACCCACACACACACACATTGGAGGGCAGGGTGGAATGCCACTCTCAAAAAGGAGCACGTGACTGAGTCGAGGACTGGGCTGCAGGCATGAGCTGCTTTCCAGACGCGCGAGGCTTCCCAGGGGAGAAAGAAGGTAGGTCCGTCGCGCACCGTTCCCGCCTTTTTCTTTCTCTCTGCTCCCTCGCTTGACTGCCAGGGCTGTGACATTTGAAGAGCCGAAAGTTGGGAGAAAGATTATGACCGCTCTCCTAATTATCAGCTATCTCCCAGTTAACTGTCTGTAGTGCCCCTCAGGGACATCAAGTTTGCGCTTTTTCCTGCTGGGAGAGAACTAGCTAGGAAAACTGCTGCTCCCTGAATGCCAGCCTAATGTCTTTTAGCAGCAGCAGCAATGTGTCCTACACAACTGTTGCCACAGTTGTGTAGGATACATAGCCAACGGGGTTCACTCCCCTGTCAGCCAATAAAGTACAGGGCTCAAGGCATGTCATGCTCCACACAGCTGAATAAAAGCCCACATTTTCTGCTATGAACTGGAAAATGGGTAAAATAGTACGACAGTTGGGTTCAGAAGCTCTGAGCGTTATGCTGTTTTCGCTTTGTGCCTTTGAGAGCGCTGTTTGCGCAACGCAGAACGGAACACAGATATTATAGAAGGAATGTAAGAGTTCTTGAATGGTTAAATCCTAACCCTTATCCGAACCCTAACCCTTAACCTAAACCTTAAGATCCACAAACTTTTTAAACAGAGGGCCAGGTCACAGTTCCTCAAACTGTTGGAGGGCCGGATTATAATTTGAAAAAAACATGAATGAATGCCTATGCATACCACATATCTTATTTGTAGTGCAAAAATCACTTAAGACAATACAATAATTAAAATGAAGAACAATTTAACAAATATAAACTTATTAGTATCTCAATGGGAAGTGTGAGTCTGCTTTTGGCTCATGAGATAGGATTGTTGTCGTTGTTGTTGTGTGCTTTCAAGTCGTTTCAGACTTAGGTTGACCCTGAGCGAGGGCCGGGTAAATGACCTTGGAGGGCCACATCTGGCCCCCGGGCCTTAGTTTGAGGACCCCTGCCTTACCCTAACCCTAAGCCTAACTGCTAGCCATAATCCTAACCCTAATCTTAACCCTAACCCTTACCCTACCCCAAATACTAACCCTAAACCTTACCCTAACCCTAAGCCTAACCACTAAATGTAATCCTAACCCTAATCGTAACCCTAATCTTAACCCTAACCCTAACCCTTACCCTACCCCAAACATTAAGCCTAAACCTTACCCTAACACTAAGCCCAACCACCAAACATAATCCTAACCCTAATCGTAACCCTAATCTTAACTGTAACCTTTACCCTACCCCAAATACTAGCCCTAAACCTTACCCTAATCCTAATCCTAACCTTAAACCTTACCCTAACCCTAATCCTAATCCTAAACAATACCCTAATCCTAACCCTAAACCTTATCCTAAACCTTACCCTAACCCTAAGCTCAACCGCTAACCGTAATCCTAATTATAACCCTAAGCCTTACCCTACCCTTAACCCTAAACCTTACCCTAACCCTAACCACTAACCGTAATCCTAACCCTAATTGTAACCCAAATCCTAACCCTAACCCTACCCCAAACCCTAACCCTAAACCTTACCCTAACCCTAAGTCTAACAGCTAACCGTAATCCTAACCCTAATCATAACTCTAACCCTAAACCTTACCCTAACCCAAACCCTAACCCTAATGGTAACCCTAAATCTTACCCTAACCCTAAGCCTAACTGCTAACTGTAATCCTAACCCTAACCCTAATCCTAATCCTAACCCTAACCCTTACCCTTACCCTACCCTAAACCTTATCCTAACCCTCCCCTCTTTTCTCTCTGGACCATGGGATCTCTTCCCTTATTCACAACCACTGTTGCGGAATGTGCATAACCCAGCAATCATACTATCACCAGAAAATATATCAGTGTAGACTCTGATAACCCAGTTCAAAGCAAATATTGTGGGATTATCTGCCTTGATATTCTGATTGTGTGGAAGGACCCTTTGAAGGTTGTCTCTTTTATTGGTTTTTGTATTCCTTTTGCTCTTTTTCTGTTGCCTTTTTTGGAAAATGGCATTCATAACCTTTTGGAAAATGCTTTTTAGAGAATAGCCAAAAACGCTTTAGAGTAAAATCTTCTCTTATAGTATACTTCTAGATATAATAATTGTGCAGGGCAATGGTTTTAGTTGTTAGACTGAATAACCTGTTATCTCAGATCTGTTAAGAAAATGGAGATTTACCAGTGCATAAAAACAGCAGAGCTTTAAAGGTGTTTTTCAGTGCCCAAAATATATATATACTTTCCCATAAAACAACTTGTTTTATATCATGGACTCAAGAAACAAAAATGAAGTAGTCTGTGATAAAAAATAACATATTTGGTTTACTCAACCTTCATGTGCTCAGCATATATACAGGTACAAAATCTATCAGTCCAGTTTCAGATATGTTTGAGATAATTTTTGTGCCATCCAGCCAGGACATCTCTCTTATAACAAAACAGCTATCAACAGGTAACATAGTCAAAAAGGAGAGAGAGAGAGAGAGAGAGAGAGAGAGAGAGAGAGGATGTGTTCTGCAGCCCCCTTTTAAACTTCTCAGGAACCACAGAGAAAAGGAAGCTTCATCGCATACCAGAACATATATGCAAACAGTAAGCAATGGATAAATATTACTAGAGAAGGCTTGAAGAAGGTTGTCATTTCCAACAACTTTGCTAATTAGTTTATGAGAAATAGAAAACAAGGTTATGCTTACATCAGTGTTTGCCACAATAACTTCTTTCTTCTTCTTTCAAAGCTGATTGCCCAATGGAGGGGTTAGCATTGTGACTGGGTTGTTATAGGTTTTTCGGGCTATATGGTCATGTTCTAGAAGCATTCTCTCCTGACATTTTGCCTGCATCTGTGGCAAGCATCCTCAGAGGTTGTGAGGTTGAAACATCAGTAGAGAATGCTTCTAGAACATGACCATATAGCCTGAAAAACCTACAACAACCCAGTGATTCCAGCCATGAAAGCCTTCGACAAAGCATTGTGACTGTCGTTTCCACAGGGCTTTGTTTTGGGCATCCTCAGGTCTCAGGTTGGCATGTCTTCATTGATGGTGTCCATCCATCTTTTCTTTGACCGTCCGCGTGTTCACCGTCTTGCAATCTCTAAATGTAGTACTGTTTGTGTTACTGATGTTGGTTCTCTTCTCATGGGATGGCCATACCACCGTAGTGTTGCTTCCTGCATTTTCTTGCTGATCGCTTTTATTCTTCGTCTTTGACAGATGTCATCATTTGGCATATAGTCAAGAAGTGTCAAGACAAGTGTCCATCTCAGCCTTTTCATTTCCATTGTGTTAAGGGCTTGTTAGTGCTTCTTTGTTGCTGGCCAGCACTCTGCCCAGTAGAGGTCTGCTGGGCAAACAGCTGTCATGTAGATCTTAGACTTGAGTTGTTCTGGCATTTTTGGTCACACAGAATGCCAGTATTTTGCCACCATTTCAAGCAAGCTGCACTTATTCATGACCATACTTCTGCCATCTATGGAGACCAGTGACCTTAGGTATTTAAATTTGGTGGACTTCTTTAGTGCTTGTCCATTAATTTGAATTGTTTTTCCAGTTTGGAGGTCACATTCCAGATGCTCTGTTTTGGCTAGCTTTTATCCTAGAGCTGTAACTATACTAAACTCAATGGTTTCTCATTGATGTAGCATTGGGGGCTGTGGTGGTGGTTGGGTGTGGAGGGAGAGGTGTGTTGTTTTGTGGTATGTGCATTGAATTTCGGTTTGCAATAGCACAATGACAAAAAAGCTATTCTATTCTATTTCTCAATATATTTACATGCACACTGAGAAGTAAAATCAAACTATGAAAACTCTTTTAAATAAGAAATTCTATAGCCATGATGCATGGATCTAGTTTTATATTCAGTAGTGACATCTAACACATGCATTTTCATTGAGGGCCACATCAGCCTTATGGTTGCCTTTAAAGAGCTGTTGAATTCATGGTTGGAAAGTCAGTCAATACAGAGGGCCAGCTATATTTTTTTAAGAAAGTGGTCCACGCTCTTTAGTTTTTTACCCAGTTTGGGTTCTTGGATGTTATTGAATGACAACTCCCATCACTTTTGGTTATCCGCCATGCAGACTGGGGATAATGGACATTGCAGCCCAACAGCACTTGTGGCCCTGAGGATGGGGGATAGGTTAAAGAGTGTTTTAAAATCAGACAACATCTTCACAAGCCTTATATCTAAATCCAAACCCCAATATCCTGACTGAACAGAACAAACAGCAAACTGTATCACAACTTCCATCAGCTCCAGTCCTGATATATAATCATGAGGAATACGGAAGTTGTAGCATCTGGAGAACCACATAATATGACAGGATAGGTTCAGTTTGGCCCACAGGCCAACAGAATGAAACCTGCTAATCCCTGCTTATACCAATAAGTTTAAGTGAAGTTTTTTGTGTTATTTATTTATTTATTTAGCAGTTTTGTATACCGGTCTTCTCACCTCCATTCGAGGGACTCAGGCCGGTTTCCAACATCAATATTACAGACAGTCATTAAAACATCATATTCTAAATCACACTAAAACATTAAAATAGCAAAATACAATCATATAATTACAGTGGTCAGAAGTCATCAAAAATCATTATTCGTCGTCATCCATCCATATCACAGGATCATGGCTCATTCGTCGAATGCCAATCCCCAAAGCCAAGTTTTCACCTGTTTCCTGAACGTTAAGATAGAAGGGGCAGTTCTGATCTCCAGTGGAAGGGAGTTCCAGAGTCGAGGGGCCACCACCGAGAAGGCCCTGTCTCTCGTCCCCACCACCGCGCCTGTGAGGCCGGTGGGATCAAGAGCAGGGCCCCTCCAGACGATCTTAGCAATCTTGATGGTTCATAGGGGAGGATACGTTCGGACAGGTAAATTGGGCCGGAGTTGTTTAGGGCTTTATAGGTTAAGACCAGCACTTTGAATTGTGCTCGGAAGCTGACTGGCAGCCAGTGGAGCTGGCGCAACAGAGGAGTAGTATGCTCCCTGTACCCCGCTCCCATTAGTAGTCTGG